TGTTTTGATTTGGCCAAAAAAATAAAATGATGTCCTGCATTACGGGACAGTGTCAGACTTAAATACACTTCAATACAATATCACCTTTAAAGCGGCTGCATTGATCAGTACAATAAACATAGTACACACGTTTAACAGCATTTCTGTCTTGCAGCATTTGCAGTAGCAGTGCTTTTAACTGTCATAAAATGTTTTATATTCCTCACTGTTCTCCATTAAACAACCTGTTCACTGCAGGAGCTGCACACGATGGTTTCATTTTATGCAGAAGAGTCACATGACGTGTTAAACGCCCCTTTTTTATGTGAATGGGCACAGAATCTGAAGCAGAAAGTCTGAGATGACAAAGAAAGTCGAGTCGGCTTACACAAAGAAAGCCCGGCTATGTTACACTTGCTTCATAGCATACCCCTCAGAGTGTTGGATGACAGGAGCTCATCAGAAATCACATGAATAAATGAGCTAATTGTGTTTTTGTTGTAGCATAGTAGTGATTTTAATTAGATAATTCCACCAGCATGTTCACATCAGGGGGAGAACCAGCCTGGACAGTGCTCATATGAAGACTTCTGACAGCCACAAAGCCCTCCCACGTCTTCATTTTGGTCTGTATTTCCCTGCTTCTCCTGCCAAGTTATTCCCAGCTGATAAAAAAGGATCAAACCATCCTGAAAGTGTGGACAGATGAAGCTACAGCAGCTCAAGAGGCCCGTTTTGAGTGCACAGATTGGCACTGCCACCCAACAAGAAATACTTCATGTGTCACTGATACTCAGATCACAAAGACAATAAAGGCAATCAGAAAGACTGGATTATTAAAGAGGAAACAAACCAACACAATGCCAGAGAAAGTCTCAAATCTAGGAGAGTCCGTAGAAAGATCTCAACACCGAGCATATGTGGGAGGCGATTTAGAGCATCTCGGGCTGCAGAACAGGAGCATCCCTACCAATGTGTGAGGCCCCATTTGCCAGATGAGCTAAATACATTTTACACTCGCTTTGATCTCCTCAACAAAGAGTCAGCTGTAATGTCTAGCCCGCCTCCAGAGGACCTGCCACTGTTAGTAACCGCAGCCGATGTGAGATGAATCCCGCTGCGAGAGAAATACGAGTAAAGCTGCTGGGCCCGATAACATCCCCGGTCGTGTATTAAAAAGGTGTTCCAATCTGCTGGCTGATGTTATTGCTGACATTTTAAACGCGTCACTGTCAGAGGACGGTGCCGCCATCTGCTTCTACACAGCCACCACCGTCCTGAAAGCTGCAGCCCTGTGGCATCACACTCCCCCCTACCCAAATTTCTGATGAAATGCTAGTATTATATGCTAGTGTGCTTCTCCAGTACATCAAAGACAACATTGCAGCCTGCCTGAAACCTCACCGGCACATCTCCGCTTATGCTGCCCTCCACACACCTTGACAATAACGGCCACATCAGAATGCAGTTTGTTGGTTTTAGCTCAGCAGTCAATACACTCCCTCCCCCCCTTCCTCCCATGAAACTGATTGGCAAACGTAGCACTCTGGGCTCGAGTATCACACTCCAGAATTGGATATTGGGCTTCCTCACAAACAGACCACCAGAGAGTTGGGACTGGCATTCACACCTCCTCCACTCTCAACACCGGACCCCCCAACCCCATAGCTCAACTCAGCTCTGTTGTGAAGTTTGCAGACGACACCAGTTCCATCAGCCAAACAACAATGAGAATTTATATCAGGGGGGGAAAATCGATAATCTTGCGGCACAGAAAACAACCTGCTACTCAACAAAACAAAGCACTCGATTATCGATTTAAAAAAAAGAGTCAAACCCTCCCCCCCATGTCTATGTTAGCGAAGCTGAGGTCAGACAGGTTAACAGTTTTATAATCCATCCATGCATCCATTATCTATACACTGTTTAATCCTCACCAGGGTCACATGGGGGGCTGGAGTCTATCCCAGCTGACAACTGAAACCTACGGACTATTTAGAATCACCAATTAACCTCAACATGTTTTTGGACTGTGTGGGAGGAAGCTGGAGAACCCGGAGAGAACTGCACAGGGAGAACATGCAAACTCCAGGCAGAAAGATCTTGGGGTGTGAACCGGCGACCTTCGTACTGTGAGGCAACGATGCTAACCACCGAGCCACCTTGCAGCCCAGTTTTATAAACCTGGGAACTGATATTACAGAGACCCTGGTGAACATGGCTCAGGAATTAGAGATGAATTCCTACGTGAAGGTCTTGTCCATTTTTACAGAGGAGCCATAGAAAGCATCCTAACAGGAAATACCACAAAATGGGATGTAATGTGCATGACCAAGGACAGTAGGGTTCTGCAACCACTTGAGGATTAATGTTAACGGTAAAGCAGGGCGACAGTTAAGCAGAATCCAAAGGATACTCAAAGACAACGTCCACCCAAGTCACAGCCTGTTCACGCTGCTTCCTCAGGCCGTGAAAGTCCTGAATTCCTCCTTCATAGTCAACCATGAAAGTAGTTTCTTTTTTTCCTCTTTGCTTTCTTATTTAGTGAGTAGCATCAAGGGACTACATCTGTATTTTTGGTATACAATCTTGTCTTGTGTAATAACACTTAAACGGAATGTTAACTCTTAAATCTTGAACCATCGCTGACACTGCTCTCACCGTACCGTAGACTGACAGCTGTCGGGCTAAAGTTCACTTTAAGGTGACACTCACTGGTTAGCAAACAAGCCAGAAACACAAAGACATATTAAGGAAGAAAAATCGCATTACAGGAAAGCAGAAATTGACAGGGACGCACATGACTCCCTGTTTGAGCTTGTTTTTTAGGAATGCAGTCCAGGTGCTGTTGGAACATGTTGGAAGAATCTCTGCAGCAGCTACAGATTTAACTCTGAAGGATTTTCTGTCCCAGAAAAAAAAAAAAAAATCATTTCAGGTTCATGCTCTCAAAGTTACACACACTTCTTCCAGCTTTTATTAATGCTTAATGGTGATCTTACAACTGACCTGAAAATATTTCTCATGCTGCTCATGTTTTACACATCAATCCCTGATCACAGCTTGTAAATAACTCTGAGTTAGAAAAGAAATCTGAGGTACTATAGCAAGAATAAAATAACCCAGCAATACCAACTATAACATTATTAAGAGGGAGGTGGAGGAGGAGGTGGAGGAGGTGGGGGCACACCACCAGAGGTGCCAGTGTTGGGAGGTGGTGGAGGAGGAGGAGGAGGGGGCACAGCTCCTGACATTGGTGGAGGTGGAGGAGGACAAGCACCTGACATTGGTGGAGGTGGAGGAGGAAGTGGGGCACCCCCGGCCACGAGAGGAGGCGGCGGCGGCGGGTACATGCTGCTGGATGGACTGAGAGTTGGTGGAGGGGGAGGTGAGGGAAAACTGGTAGGCGAGGACATGGAGGGTGGAGGGGGAAGACCAGTGTTCATGGAGGAGCAGGGAGGTGGCGGCGGGGGAGGAGGAGCAGGTAGGTTGGGGTCCAAATCCGCAACGGGAGGAGGGGGAGGAGGAAGGCTGCTGTTGGTGGGGTCGGTGGCGGTTTGCAAGGTGGGCACTGAGGGTGGAGGCACAGCAATGCCGAGATTGGATCTGCATGAAAACATAAAGCAAACACACCTTGAGCCATAGTGAAGACTGCTATGTCAAGAAATGGTCAATTATATATGGTTCTAGTGTTGGCAGCCAGTTAGCTTAGCTTGACTAAAACTCATAAGTGTTTCACCAGAAGAGGTTCTTCAGTCCCAACGGTCTGGTGGGGAGTCCCAGGTAAGGGTTGGTAATAACCTGAGACTCATAGGGTGAATGAAATGGTATGAAACTGCCAAGGGAAGGATCTCAGGACTGCATTATAAGTACCTGATACATGGTGTCACAGATCCTCACCCTTGTTTAGAGATGGCTATTCCAGTTTAACATAGAAAGCTTGATTTGAGATGACATGTGAATAAGGAGCAAGAATAGATGTCTTGGACTCCCCACCAGTCAGTTAAAACTTAAGAAGCCTCTTGGATAAGATGTGAAACGTCTTAAAAAAAATTCCAGCTGCCTTTTACTGAAGAACCTAGAATTACCACAACCTGGACCATTTGACAGTCTACACAGACACTCAGCTAAAATTGCAAAGTTGTGGAGCAAAAGTATTTTTTTTGGTCTAGAATGCAGATAAATCTTATCGTAAATCGTACAGGCAATGTAAGATGGTGTCACTATATTAGTATAATCAGTATCTATAGTGTGTTTAATCATTACAGTGCTACCAGTGTAAAAAGGGCAAAGAGGACTGTTTCTACGTACACAGAAGTGTCTGCAGTGCTCTGTATGCTCTCTGTGGTGTCTGCTCTCTTTCTGGACTGCTGCTCAGTGACCTGCGGAGGGAAGATGAATGAAAGTGATAAAGAATGGCAGAGCACATCTCCACACACCACAGAAAAAGGGGGAATGTATTTTACAGTACAGCCTTAGAAAAGAAGAAATATGAAAAGGTGTGTGAACTCAAACTCAATTTTCAATTTAGAATCCACTTTACCCAAAAACAGTGTCCGACAGCGTCCAAGGCGGAGTATGATATTGGCATTCTTGAGTAGCCTTCCTCTGGCTCCCTGCCCGAGGCCGGTGGGGTCATAAGCTTGGAACGAGCCCTGTCTTTGGGAGTAGTGAAAACACCAATCTCTCTCCTGGCCACCTTCTCAAAGTGGATGGCAACAGCCTGAACCAGAGCACAGAGTGAACAGCCTCAATCAATCGTACACAAGAACTCCATTCTCACATCACTTGTTCCCTTGAGAGTCTCAACAGAGATGTGGCAACATACATAAAAATAAAAAGTGCACATTTCTGCACCTGTCTTTGGGTCACACAGATAAAGCTGAGATTGTGTTAAAAATAGGCCATACTATAGAGGTAGATGGATATTTAGTTGTCAGACTAATGTCGATTATTAGTGATCCAGAAGACTAATAAACAAGATTTAGAACTGACTTATATTTGCACTTATATTTACTTAAAAATGAAAAAATGTCCAAACTATAACACAAAACTTTGTTCAAATGACTGCTTATTGTATTTTTTGATGAAAGACACTTTTCAGCTTTTATTAGGGATGTCCGATTTTGGCACAATATTGGCATAAAAATGTAATATCTGTCAATATCGTTATTGTTTTATTTGGGGTTTTTTTTTTGCCTATAATTAAAACCAATAAAATAATGCCTGGATTTCGCCTGCATTTACAGGCACGCAAATGATGACGACATCAAACTGTGTTGTGTAGCACGTAAACAAGTGTGGCTGCAGTAACAAACATATATCAGTATCGGCTGATATCAGAACTGGAAGTTGAGAGTTGGAAAATATCGGCATATCGGATATCGAGAAAAAAAGCCAATATTGGACATCCCTAGCTTTTAGTCTTCAGTGCTGATTGACTATTACTCAATGTGTTATCAATCAGATCATCCAGTGAATGTGATGTTCAATATCACAGTGACTACAGATCAAGAGGGGTGGATGCATCAGAGCCAAAGCAGCACATTTGTAAATGAATTTATATTGCCATTAATCAGAAAAGTGCTGGATATCGGATCTGTGGCAGGCCCGTAGTCAGCTGATCCTTAACTGTAGCTGCTTAATATTGAATTACTGACCTTCCAATGTGTCGAACAAGAGATCCAAAATACTCATCATAATTGAAAACATATAAAAAAACCTTTTCATAGAAAATAAGTGCAATTTTATACTGAAACAGCGTTCACATCATGAAAGAAATACATTTTGTACAACCTGGTTCATCATGACTTTGGTAAATTCTAATTGGCTTGTTGTTGAGTCATTTCCTCACTAAGAGAGAAGGGTGTAACACAGCTAATGACCATATTTTTCGGCTTTAGTTAAACCCCAGCTATGCAGACCGTCTTGGTCGTAGCTCAGGTGAGTTTCAGGTGAACTGTGACACTCACCAGCGACAGCAGGTTCACAGAGGACTCCATGTCTTTGATCTGCATGGCCTGTGAGTCCAGCAGCCTCAGCAGGGTGCTGGCCACACTGTTGATCTGGTAGGTGACACTGGCCAGAGCCTGGGCGGCCAAAGCTTTCGCCTCTTCTGCAGCCTTGTGTGGATCCTCTGCCTGTTGGATTATTAAAGAAAAAAAAAAAGATCATCAAAAACTTTTCATTTAAAAAAGAAAAATATCTAAAACTATCACAAACAACATACTATACATAACTATACACAAATACAAGTATATATAAATACAACTACGACAATAAGGACTTTTTAAAATGAGTATTCCTCACCTGAAGATAATTGTTTTCGCAGTACTCAGCCACTCGGAGGAGGTTGCTGTGATTATCAACAAGATCCTTCCTGGCAGCTGGAGCCTCTTGTAATATCTGCTGAATAACTTCTGAAAGCTTCTTTTGCTCCGTCATTTCTCCCATTGAAGCTGCTGACAAAGCCCCAAAACTTTGTCTGCCGCTCTCTTGTGAGGATGAAAAAAGTTTTTTCCTTTTTTTGGCAGGAGTCAGTCGAGGCAGGAAGGTGTTTGGTCGGCGGGGAACGCGGAAAACACCGCAGGGTAGAGATTTCAGAGCAGCTGGGCAGGGCTGCACAAAGTAGACCTGCACTGAAGCTGCACTGCAACTAACATCTGTCTCAGTGTATGCAAAACTTAAATACTGTTTTATGCCCTGCTTTAAAAAACAAAAACAAAAGAGAGAGCGAGAGAACACATGCAACAATTTATGTTACAACATGAAACGTGAGACCAGGTATGCAGTTTACCTCTATAGCCAACCACTTGTACTACTCCTACAATCCACTAGAGGTCAGTGCAGCCTAAAGAAAGGCGCCTCTATCAACGTCTGCTTCATTCTGCATTGTGTACAGTAATGATGATGATGTTGTTTCTAATGATGATTACAGCTCCAAACAATAACATATAATTCAAGCAGGGCAAAGCTCACGGGCACATTTTATAATTAGTGCAATTTAACATAATCTACGCCGAACGATGTTGTGGAACCTTGTTACATAATTGCAAAATGTTTAGCCAAGTCAAAATACAGTGTATTGTTTGAAATTTCCTGTATAAACAACATGAATTCCACAACATCCTTCAATCTGTGTCTGTGCTAAAGTTCATGTTTTCCCCCCCTCCTCCCCGGACTCCAGCTTTTAAATTAACAGCAAATACACCTCAGTGAGAATACACACATATCGAGCACTGGCTTAACGGAGCCATGTGACAAACCACAATAACAACTTTATGTGGGTATAACTCAGAGGTGATGCTGTACAACCAGGTGATAAAAGGAGATTGCCTGACAAAGGGCTTCTTGACTGTTTTTGTGCTGCAGCTTTACAAACTTCGGAGCACTGATCTCAACTCCAGGCATTTTAGAGGGGATTTGATCCCTTTGTCAGATTGCACACAGGTGACAGATGGCAGGAAATGAGGGATAGGAACTGGGGAAAGACGTGTAATGAAAAGTCTCTGTGCCACTTTGGCAGGTAGTGGTTGGTGTTTTCGGTCACCTGGGCAGCTCAAGCTGTCTGGTCCACCACTCAGGTTCAGATTAAATGATCTCTGCAACTATTTTATGCACTCTAATGAACTTGGTATAGTACATCATCACTTTTAATGGTGCCTCCTAATGATCCCCTGGCCTTTACCTAAGTGCCGTGATGAGGCCAACGTCACTAAAATGTCTTAATGATTGTTGATTGCTGTAGAGTTGGGTACAGACTTGGAATGACCATGATGTTCCCCAGACTTTTCCTCCTCGACTACAATGAGGTTTACAGTTGTAAGATTGAATGAAATGTCATGGTCATGGTAATTCTAATGGCTTCAGCTGAAGACAACTGAATGTCTCTATTTGGTTAGTGAAGATGTTTGACCTCTCATCCAAGAAGTTACTTCAGGTTTAACTGACAGAAAGGGAATCTTAAATATATGTTAGGACACACCTTTGAGGACAGCAATGTTCATATTCTGGACAGAGAAGACAGATGGTTTGAGAAAAGAGTAAAGGCCATCTATGTTAAACTGGAATAGCCATCTCGAAACACAAGAGGAAGTCTATGATACCAACTATCAGGTGCTTATAATGCAGTCCTGAGATCTTTCTCAAGACATGTGAATCTTGGGTCATTAATGGGACATTAGCTTTCCAAAGTTGGGGTGACAACATATGTCTAGAATGCCACATCAGTCAGTCAGCACTCAAGAATCATGGTCCCCTCAGGATGAACTAAGCGATAATATCTTTGGAAATCGTCTGGCGTCATTATAAGGTCAAGTTCCTGCAAAACAACTGACAACCTTAGCTTTCCTTCCTCGTGCTTTATAATATGTCAGTAGGCAAACAAATATAGGAAACTAAGATGATGAACATGATGAACATCCATCCATCCATATCTGTACACCGTCTCATCCTCTGTAGGGTCGTAGGGGGCTGGAGTCCATCCCAGCTGACACAGTGTGAAGGTAGGGTTACACCCTGGAAAGGTCACCAGCATGGTGAACAAATAGTTGCAAAACTTCAACATATTATCTGTTATTGTAATTGGATTACAATGCTGATATTAACATTTGTCTCAAAGTATTGCTGGGCTGAAGTAATCCATCACAGAGCAGCTGGCCAAGCTGTCGGCTCTTCGTCAAGGCAATCTCTAATCAAACTGACCTTAAACTAGGACAGAGCGATATGTAAAAAAAACATCATAATGTGATTAGTTTTGACAGATATTGTGACTGTGATATGAATGAAGATTTTTGGGTAAGTGTTCTTTTTCTTTTTTTGCACTGAAAATATGTAAAAAAATTATTATGTGACTTTTGCTGTGGTCTGTTCTAATAAAGCGTGATGAATTACATCTGGAGAATATGAATGAAAGTCTGAGGAAACATAACCTCAAAAGTAAAAAAAAAACAAAAAAAGGAAACTATTTGTCTCTTTTAGTGGGTTTCTGCTATCTCTCCCCGGACTCTTCTTCTCTGACCCAAACTCTATGCCGGATATTTTCTTATTGAAGTGTTTTAAATGTCATCTTGAACTTCGGTGACGTTAAATAAACATGATAATAGTTGACTTGAGCCTCAGTCTTTCCTTGACAGTGATCCAAGTCAGGTTGTCAGGCTTAAAGAGTAACAACAAATTTCTGCTGCAATAAAGTATAGTTTGTTAATTTCCTTAGACAGAATCATCACGATCCTTGTCTACTGATAAGACAATCTGAATGACTTTATTTATTTATTGGTAGTCCCTTTTATCTTTGTTCAGCACAATCTCGAGTCATATTGTGCGTTGTGTAATTATTAAAACGACCGTCAACTGTGGAACTGATGACTTGGATGGAAAACAGGATGTATACTGGTATAATTAAAGCTCTTTTGCTGTCTACTGTTTGTAAAAGACTAAAGACACGGATTAATATATTTTGATTTACTTTTAGTGCGTGTCAACATAAGTTCTGTGTCCTGTGCATCGTACTGTGGAGCAATAAACTTTCTCAGTCGTCTCTGATAATGACAAATAGTTGTAATTCTGTCTCTGGCTTTTGTCATTCTGCATGACTTAATGGTAATGTGTGCTCACAAACAGACTAGCATCATTCAAGGTGCTGTGCCCAGACAACAAGACATGGCCTAATGATATAATATAGTGTCGAGCAGCAGAGGAAAGGGAGTATACTCTATACTTACCTTACTGCCCTCTCATTGGCCTCAGACATTATGTAATTATGTAACCACGCTGTTTGCTACCCTTCCAGTCATTATTCCAAACTGCTCAAACTGATTCTTTGGTTGTGACGCAGTTTTCATCATCTGGAATCTCAGTATTCGAAAGATATTTGGAAAGATCACATGTGTGAAAGAGTTCAGTAATAAACAAACTCATCATCATTATCGGGGACATAAGGCTGTTTATCAGTGGGCTCCCTCCCATTGCAGATTAGCTGTGTTCAAATCCAACATGCATATCAGTCAGGGCAGTGTGAGCAGCACACTGCTGTTTTATGGTCTTGTTTACACAGCCGAGCTATCCGAGTGTGAAACCAGCAGTTTGATTTGGAAATGAGGATTGTAAGTTGTGATTTTACGCTCAAATAAAGATATTAGTCAGTGGAAGCCGGAAGGAATTATTCTGTCATCCACACCCGGTGCAGGCAACACAGCTTCACAGCTCTGCTCTTTGTCTTTACATAGAAATCACTGGTGTAAAACTGTTGCTGCATGGTTTTTCCTCCTAATGAGACTTCTGATCCAGGTGATGTTGTCTGGAGCTGTGCTGGGAAAATCATAAGATCACAGAAGTTCACAAACAAATATGAATTCATAAAGGTTTAAGTTGTAGCAAGTGCACACATTTATCCATGAACAGATGAGCACTAGGTAAGGAAATGTAAAGTTTGCATGAAGAGTTTCTTACCAAAAAGCATTGTGTGTGTCCACGGGACTAACATTTTTTCCTCATGAGACATTTGAAAAGCCAAGTGTAAAAGACATTTTTAATCCTGTGTTGTTTACATCCATATTTGGCTGCCAGCAGTGCTCTTCTCTGTTGCCTTTTTCTTTCATTTATTGGCACTCTACCACCAGCAGCTGTTCATCAGCAACGTTTACATACACTTGTGAAGACCACATATATCATGGCAGTCTTGAATTTCCTATGACTCCTATAACTTAGAATTTTCTATGATGGAATCATTGAAACACATGCATCTTTGTCATTAAAACAAGCATGCATTTCGGTTGTTTCACAGATTTATTATGGGTCTTCTGGAAATATGACAAAGTCAGCTGAGTCAAAAATATACATCAGCAACTTGAATTATCAATTTTAGTGATGTAGAAAATTGTGTTAATCAAATTTTCTTATGACCTCTTACCTTCTCGCAAGTGATTACAATCAACTACTGCTGCTGACTCCTCTGAGGCAATTTAGATAGTGCACATTTGATACAGCACGGTGCAAGTTTGTCCATGTCACTGTCTGGAAAAAAACTACTGAGAGACAGTTGGTCAGGATGGTCAAGAGTCAAGCAAAAAATCACCAACGAGCAGGTCTGTAGTGAATTAGAAGCTGCTGGAGCACAGCTGTCAGTGTCCACAGTCAAGTGGTTTTACATCACCATGAGATGAGAGGCTGCCATGCAAGAAGGAAGCCCTTTCTCTAGAAATGAAACCTTTAAGCTTGAATGTAGTTTGCTGCTGATCACATAGAAAAATAAAAGCCTTTTAGAGAGAGTTCTATGGTCACATAAAACTGAAAATGGAGCTGTTTAGGCACAATGAACAGAAATAAGTTTGGAGGAGAAAAGGTGAGGCCTTTAGCCACAAGAGAACCGAAAGTATGGTCAAGCATGGTGGTGGCAGTATGATGCTCTGGGGCTGTTATGGTGCCAGTGGAACTGGCAATTTACACAGATTAAATGGAATAATGAAGAGGGAGGATTGTCTTCATGTTCTTCAGGAAAACCTAAAATAATCAGCCAGAAGGTTGGGGCTTGGATGCAGTTGGGTGTTCTGGCAAGACAATG